GCAAAACTGTTTGACCAAAAAAGGTTCCCGGATTAAATAAATGCACTGAAGCACGTATATAGTCCCATGATCCTGGAAAAAGACATCTCTTCTTCAAAAAAAAAAAAAACAATTACTTTAACTAAGAATGAAAAACTGCTACAACTAGCAGTTAATGAGGCTAACAAAAATTAAAAATGTTTGGAAAGTGACGGTTAACCTCTAGAGTTCCAGCTACAACAGATCAAGAGGAGTTATATCTCAACCAAACAAAGTAACTAGGATTTAAGTCATTCACGAGGCACGAAGGGAGGAGATTCCAATATACAAACATTATGATCAGAGTTGTTACTTCCGACCTAGCCTCCATCAAAATTTATAAGAATAGTAACTCATATTAGGTAACATCTTATATCAAATAGAGTCCAGACAGAAATAAAATCTTCAAGAAATGGAGGTAACATTAGGCCTACCAGGAAATGCATTCAGCGCTTCAAGGGCAGCAGCTTTGCTTAAAGGATCTGCTCCAAGCATGATTACATGACCACCTGTAAGTCCATCTTCTTTATACAAGTTTGCATACACTGCTGCCGACTTGTCTGATTCAAAATTTGTCACAAGAGATCCATCCTCCTTGGAATCCCTAAGGGTTGATCCAACTATTTGTTTCACTTTCCCCTGATAACAAATAATACGGTTCCATGATAACAGACATTTAAAGAAAAATAATACATACTCTTAAACTCAAATAGAACAAATTTACACTACAATCTACACTACCTAGCTTTCTGGCCCGTACGCAAAGTATAATCTGAGACTTTTCATCCCAACATTTCATGATAAATTCAATGCATTCACAATCCAACAATACGAATAACCAATGCTAGAAAACATAAAATCGGGACATTGGCTTCTTGAGTGCATAAGTACCTTATGTATATCGATACAAGGACGGAAACGAACAGCACAATTAACACGTAAGTGAGAATTCCCTACGAAACGAAAACAAGACAAGACTGTAAAATGAAAAACGATAAAGTATCATTCTCTCTTTCTTCTGTGCAGATAAAGAGAATGAAAACGGACGCAGACATACGAGAGGTTGCCGGTGAAGGCAAGGCTGTGATGAACTTCCGATCGAGAGAACCACGAAACAAATGGCTGAATTTTCGATTGATCGAAGAGAAACCCGAGTTTGAATACGCATAGAGGCCACCGATTCTCATCTTTCGCGAAATAAGCTCTTCCTGTTCTGAATCTGTTCGAGAAACAAAGAAAATCTGAGAAGGTTGTCTGCTGCGCAGTAGCAGTTCTTGAGGGTTTTGCAGACTTCGTGAGAAAAGGGGCGAAGCCAATTTTTATACATTAAAAAAACAAACTACTGCTGGTTCATTCAATTAAATTATCAAATGACTGTTTAATACAATTGTTAAAATATAAAATAATTTTTATAGATAATGCCCTTGTATTTACTAAAATAGTATATATGCTTGGTTGAATTCGTATTTTAATTCAATTAAATATGAATGATACTATAGTATAAATATGATATAATTACAGTAAAAATAATATTTTTTTAATCAAAATTTTATGTTAAGCATTCTAGTAATTTCTTACTTTACATGCAGTAATATAAATTTACAGTTATATAAATAAATATGTAAAATCAACTCAATTATATAAAATGTTCGTCATATCATTCAATAACAAAATCATACACAATGATTTAACAATTTGTTAAACATACTTACTTATTGATATTCTAAAAAATTAAATTCATATATCAATTTATCATTAAATAGTATAAAAATATTATAATTAATAAGAAATATGAAAAGATGGAGATTTGTTCCGCACTTGAGCTTTTATTGTTTATTTTAAGCTCGATAAATCTCTTTTTTTTTTTTACAATAAATTCTTATAACGGTTTTAATTTTCTACCCTACTTCTAAAGTTATTTGATCTTTTAGTGTTTGATTTCTTTTATCTCGTAAAAAAAAAAAATCCTCTATGAAAAAAATTAATTTATTTTTGTGACTCTTAGCATTCTTAAGTTTTATATATGATTTCTATATTTTTCCTACATTTGCTCCCTCTTTTCTCTAATATTGTCATTTGCTAATAAAAACATCCTCAGTGTGTTCCTACCTTTCCATATATCTTCCTCTTAAATCATCTATCATTCTCCTCTTTTATTTTTTATTTTTTCGTGCATGACTACTTTCCAATATTTGTTTTTATCCTCCAACGATCTTTATTTATATAATTATTCGTGATTTTAACGTCTCATTGTTTTTAATCTTCATATGTGCACCATCTTTCAAACTCCCACCGATTATCTCTTATTTATCGATGACAAATATCTTTTTTCATAATTAAATGAGAGAAAAATAAAAAATTAAAGTTTGAGTTGAGATTTTTTTTTAAATTGTAAACCAATCTAAATTTGCTGACATACATATTTTATTTGTTACCTTACTTATAACGTGTTACTTATTTAAAAATTTTATATTTATTTAAAAATATAAAAATAAAACTAATAAAAAATTAAAAAATAGATTAAATTAAACAAAAATAAATACTAAAATGATTAAGTTTTGTATTTTAATATAATTAAAAATGAAACGCTTACATATGATTATTACAAAAAAAAAAAAATTATTAAAATAATATCCAAATTTTAACATTTATTATAATTTAATTTATAATATTTTTTATTTATTGTAAACGTGAACTTTCCTTCAATACTAGAAAATAAAAAGATTAAAATTGTTAGATAATAATTGAACGTTTAAAAAATAATAAAAAATACAACCTTGACTAACTAATTAGTTAAAACTATTATTTAGACTGTTTTCTAAAGTAATTAAACATACATAGCTGATTTAAACATTTTTTCTGATAAAAAATAAAAATAAAAATAAATTGAAACAAATAGTATTGATAATTAAATTATAATAAACAAATTATTAGAGATTACTGCAACAAATGACAAGTTTCAAAAATTAATTTGATAATTTCCTAAAAAATAAATTTAATAATTACAATTTAACAAAAATTATTTCTCACTTTCTTTGTTTTGTTTGTGTTTTCTTTTTTTTTACCGCAAAAATTACTCCACGAGTTTTGACTATTTCGGTAGCCGCAACTACACCGAGAAGGCGTCATCTTTGTTTATAACCATAAACTGCCTCTGGCGAATGAAACCAAGACCAAGCTCCAGCACAGGCTGAATACACAACCCTTCCTCACTTCCAAAACCCTCGACGCTAAAACCCTCGCGTCACCGCAAATGTTACCACATCCTTGAGGAAACCCCTCTAAAATGCCCCACTATTCCGCCATCTTTATCAGAACAACAGCCATGTCGCTAAGGCCGACTTCTCTCCAGTTGTGCAGACTCCCCAAAATCCTAGTAAAACCCTCTCCCATGTCGAGAGTCCAAACTCGTTATTTCTTCGGGCATCTGCATTTGCTGAGGCCAACCTTGGGACTCACGTGCTTGCAGAGAGGTAGCATCACGTGCTTCAGGCGCGCTGCCGATTCCAGGACTCTTGAGTTGGACTCACGGAAGATTGACATACCGTATTTGCAGCAGCAGCGAAGCTTGAATTATGGCCGGTTTGCGTACGAGGACGTGTCCAGTGATGAGTCTGATCTCGAATTGGGGTCGCCACAGCAGCAACAGCAGCAGATGGTCAGTTTGTGTAAATAGATTTTCAGTGGATTTGTATTCTACGAACTGATGTTTTTCTTTCCTCTAAAATTGATTTAGGAAGGAAGAATTGCTTTCACAATAGCTCCTAAGAATTGAGAAACCTGACTTTAAATGCTAATATTGGAGTGTTTGTTTTCATATGTAAACTTTGACATAGCACTTGTTTTTGTGTTGAACCGATTAGAGGAGAGTGTATTATTGAATAGGTTTTCGAAGCTGACTGTCCTATGCTTATTGACTGCTAACGCCAGAGGAAAGAACTATGTAATTACATATTTTTATCAGAGCAATATACTTTCTTAATGTTTGTGTGGTACTTTTACTTGGGTTTTTGTAATTTTTCGATAAATCCGCTGCATGGAGTTGTAGCGGTGCTTGATTAATCTTAGTTAGTGTGCTTGCTAAATCTTTATGATGGAAAATATGTTTTGTACATGGATTGTGGTGCTTATTTGTTGCCAATTTATGCTAATCAGGGTGCTTCAACCCTTGACAATATTGATGAATGGAGATGGAAATTGACCATGCTTCTTCGGAATAAAGATAGTCAAGAAGTGGTTTCAAGGGAGAAAAAAGATAGACGTGATTTTGAGCATCTCTCAACACTTGCAACCAGAATGGGTTTACACAGGTTACTTATGCTTATCTTTTTGGTATAAAGTTACTTATGTTTATTGGCAAATACAGTTTCTAGATTTCTTTGTTTTGTTATCACA